CTCCTTTTCGAAGACAGGGTGGGCATCGGATCTCTGGACTACAACAGTGTCCCCCTGCAGAAACTCACAATATATACTCGAAATCCCTGAGATCGGGTAGGCGTGGCCGCATGCTTCAGCTTAACTTGAAGGGTCCTGGTCAATGCTTCTTGTGAGATATTTTCATCTTGACACATCTTGACGCAATTGTTGTCGTGTCTCTGTCCAACACAGAACAAGATGACAGTTGTCCCAGACTGGAATTCCACGAGTAACCAATTCCGTGCCATGTTCAAATGCCACGCCTACTCTGGATCAGGGATAAGGGTGTAGAAGTACTCGGAAAGTACGACCCCAAGGGATTCTGATCGCTGAAAGCTCCCACAAAACCTAAAACATCCGTCGAGGGAAACCTTGGAAATAACCTTGATTTTCCCTGAACAAATTGGTCAAAGTATCGCAGGACTTTTCGTCCAGTTTGATAAAACAATAACAAGAACAAAACCTTCTGGAACGGAATCAATGGATGCAGCAGCAGAAGCAAAGATTGAAGACTCATTAAGTGCAGGTTCCGCTCCGCTTGAGTCCATTTCGAGAGTCTGCACAGTTTGCCGTAAGGTGATCGGGTCAACGACTGAACAATTAATCACCTTCAAACTGGTAAACACCTCACTAAACTCACACATAGCTTGGGTGTAGCAAGTACAACTCACCATTTGACTCATCAATCTCGTGCAAAGTTTCCTTTTTCTCAAGTCCTTCTTCTTCGGGTAGTACGTCAGCTCCAGATGATTCTGAAATTGCAAATTCAGCCTCTTCATATATTATGCACTTAGACGTTGGGGTGCAGGATATGCGTTGACCCTGGCCAAATTGTGGGCTTGGTGGTCTGATCGGTTGTTCCCGAATTGATTGCCAAGAGAGTTACAACACCCAACCCCTTCTCATCTCGGCGAATCCGGGATTATTCTTTAGCAACGTTAATTCGCCGAAAAATAAGCTACTGAAAACTAACTTTCTTGTTCGGTTTCTTCGGTCTTCTTCTCAGCCACTTCGTCTCTGACAGGTTCATGATTTGGACAGTGCTCAATTCCACAGACTAGAACTGCCTCCGGAGTTTTCTGAATGAACGAAATTTGTTTTCTGAATGAGTTTATTCTCAATTCTGAAAAGCTGCAACAATCATTTTTAGAAAAAAAAAAAAAAGGCGAAATAAATGAGGTCTGAAGGAAAAGAATGAAAATGCTTCAGGAATGGTTTAGATGTGAGGTAGGACCCGGGTCCAATCGCACATTCAATCGACCGATGGGAGAGAATCATTTGGACATAGTGTCCTTCTCTTGTAGGTCCATCGCGTTGATCAGGCGGGAAGAAGGGACTCAACGACGGATAAGGAAGGCACTTTGGTCCAAAGTGGACCGCCCGTTGGTGGGATCGTGGACGTGCGTACAACTATTATAGATCTTCACTGAGACATCAGGCGGCTGAAGTGTTTTTCACGGCTGAGGTAATGCTCTTCTCTTACCGCTCAAGAAATCCGATTATGGGCAAAAGTCAGACCCCAGTCCGAAACCGATCTACCTGGTGACGCCAGGACTTCCTAACCTATAACACGTATTCTTGCGACTAAACTTTCGGGAGGCGCGAGCTGCGGCGTTGCAAGACATAAGGAATGGTAATTGGTTGCTCAGCTCTGAAATGGATCAGGATGCCTATATAGTGGGATATGTGGCGAAACAATGCGAACGCAAGCGGTCAAAAACCCGGAAGCCTTCATTCTACCAACGGTGATAAGCTAGTTTCGGGCGAGTTTCGCCAGTTGGCGCAATAACACTGCGGTAGTATGACGACTGCATGGTACGTAGCTCATACATATCCATCCATAGGCAGCAGCCGCAGCCGCTTCGTTCAGTCCCCCTCCCTTCATAGAGTACTTCGCAAATGGAGCGATAGGAGCATCAGCATCGGTCGGACGTTGGTGGGCGGGCGGGTGCGGCGTCGATATGTTACAGCATGACAGGGCTCTATAAGGGTACCTTCTTCGGAAAAGGCGCCACGCAGCGCCTGCTTAGGGGTGCCGAATTCTGTCCTGCCAGGCTTACTAATCCTACACGTCATGTGGATTCATCGTACCGCTGGTCTTGAAGCAGCAGTTGTTTCTAATTTGATTTACATTTATACTTCATTTCCTTGTAGTAGCGAAAGAGAAACTTGGAACGAGCGAAGGACCAGCATTTTCGGCCGTTTTATCCTAGTTACTCTTCTTTACACCAGCGATAATGGAGTACTTTTCAAGGATTAAATGTAAGACCACAACGATTCTACTAGCTTCGTGGTGCTGCGATAGTGTATCAGCGCCATTTAGTGAGCGCGAGCCTGCGGTCACAGTCCAGATCGCCTCCTGCTTGAACTGACCGAGCCACTCGTCCCTCCACGCTAGTCAGTTGGTATCAAGCTCGTCTGAGAGGAAAAACCCTTCTATCGGCAACCTCACCAAGTCATTGCATAAGGTATATCGCGCTCAACTCACTGAGATCCTTATAGAGATTTCTTATATAGAGTGGACTGTGTGTTCTGCATCCTGTAGAGTGGTGCTGCAGGAACTTTATCCTTCAGGCTTTCTTGAGGCAGTGACCCACTGTTGTGCCATCCCTCACAGTACAGGGATCTCTTTCAACGTACTCGAGAACATGGAGGGCTGTCATAAATTGGCCACTCCGCTTATAGAGCGAGTGGTCGCATTTGCCTGGGCGTCTTCTCTTTCATTCTTGAACATCGATCCACAGTCCTATGTTTCTTCTAGTACCTTATAAACCTCGAATATGGATACAATATCAGCGTGGTAGCGGCATCGCTGTACTCCTCACTAGTATGCATCAAGAGCGGCTTTAGTCAACGAACTTTAATTTCTGACATTCCTCATTCGAGCGTACTTAATCTGGGCAAACAAAATTTCTAAGTAAAAGTTGAAAAACTCTGACAAAACTTGTTCCGAGGTGTTTTTCTCTCCGCTACTCATATTCCCAAAGTAAGTTGACCACTTACATTGTGCTTCTTCACAGCGAATTGTCCTGACCATTGACCGGCTAACACAGCTACTTGAAGTGTAACGCAACCACCATCGTCCTATTGAAATATTTCCTGGATAAAATCGATTATCGATCGAGCATCAATTGATGACTTACCGTATACAAGTCAAAGATGCTATGAGGAATTGTAAACTGCACGAATGATCTGCCATTGGTGACTTTTGAACCCTAAATGAGTATCCATGAGTAACAGACTGCCATGCCGCATCTTCTGCGAGCACTACAAAAACGACTGGGTCTGCCGAGCACTGGATTTATACATTTGATTTGTTGAGAATTTTACATGATCAGGTTCTTCTTCACCTCCTTACACTTCAGCGGACCCTAATAAGTCCTACCTGCAGGACCGGAAAGGGACTCTGGATTGCATAAACACAAGACAAGCTCGTCGACGCTGAGGTACAAGAGTGTCACGGGACCAAATAAAATGGCTACTGACCTCAATATTCAGTGCTGGTTTAACGATATCGTCAGCTTTCGGCTGTCCATAACCTTGCGACTGGAATCCGCCAATCGACTTCATTTCACCGTCCTCCGTGAATGCGATCGCCATTT